GTCGTTCGTAGGATTAACGCGAGACTAGTTTGCGCGCGATCTGTGACCGCGAGACTAACGAGCGATTCTAGAGATACTTGGCCGTTTTTCAAAGTGATCCGCAACCGCGTGTTACCATTTCTCTCTGTTGCTTCGTCTACACCGGAGACAGGGTAGTCCAAGTTGTACTCCAAGCCTGCTCCAAGCCACTCTTGCCAATAATTAACCGGTGTAGTTCGCGCAGATTTTGGAAAACGCGAAAATATTGCTTCCATCGAGTTCCAAGCGTGTTTCTTTTACTCGAGCCGTTGCAAAATGTAAGAAGTAAGAAATAAGAAGTAAGAAGCGAGAAGTTAGAAGTTAGAGGTCGGCGAGTCTCGGATTCGATTGTCGCAGCGCGAAGGTCCATGAAAACCGGTGGTACCGGAAACGGGGCTGCAACGTGGCCAGGTAGTCAAGGCGACGTCGCTCGAAGCTTGCCAAAAAATTGAACGTTCCCGTAAGAGCGCGTCCGCTCGTCGACCATTCCTCTGTAATCGCCCGTCCGTCCCGCGGACGACGATGAGCCCTAACGGAAATCGGTGGCGCTCGTCGCGTGTAATCGTAATATCGAAACGGCCTATCGACGATCGTAGCGGTCCGACGTCGCTGACTGTTCTCGCGCGTTTCCGAAGGGAAAGGTCACGACCTCTTCCCGGGGATCGTATTCTCGACGGTCACCGAATCGAACAGAACTCGTTACGTTCCCACAATTCTCGCGCGCGTTCTTCCTCCGCTTCCCGTGAAAATCCTTTGGCTTCCGCGGCGGCAACGAGCTCCATCGTGACAACGATTTTCTCTCTTCGTACCTGACTCGAAATTCCACGCGCGAGGGAAACTGGCGCGTACACGCTCTTCTTGCCGCGATTTGGTCTTTCCTCCGTAGTCACCGCTCGTTAACGGACAATCGTCGGTCGAAGCCAGTTTTTGGTTTCGATGGTAGAAGTCGAAGTCGAAGTCGCAGGAAGGATAGAATAGGCTGGACTACTCCGTTCGTTCGAGCTCGTGCGACGCTACGGAGGGAACACCGGGTTCGTTGAACCGACCGTCGGCTCTGTCAATTCTACGATGCTTCGAATAATACTACTGTCGATGTTCGATGTGATTTTTCCACGCGAACCTCGCTCGGTTCGCTCGTTCGTTTTCTGCACGCGTGTCTCTCGAATATGCCCGTTTTTTCGTATGTACAGCTGTTCTTGCCGTGCAACTATCGAGGCTTCATCGTACTCCGCTCGCGCCAGCAGGCACAAGTTTTCTCGGTTATCGTTCAACGACCTGGGCTGGCCCGGGCCCGGGCCCGAGATCAGGGTTGTTTCTCGGTCCACTTCTCGGAGCCACTTTCGATGCTGCGTTTCGTACAAATTAGAACGACGACCCGTGAATATTTCTTGCTCGATTTACTCGATTTTTCTTTGGAAAATCGGAAACAAACTTGCGAGCAAGAGGCTAGCCACTCTTGAAATTCGTTCGCTCGGATCGTCCAAAGGCTTTCGACTCGTTCGCATCGCTGGAATCGTTCGATTAGAAATTATTTCGTACATCGTTGTCCGAAATGGTCAGCGTTTCGCACTCGAGGAAGCTAAACTTGATACACCGATGGGCATTATTTTATTTTTCTTGCTGCTTTTAACCGCTGCTACAAGCACGTAACGATCTAGTTTCGTATACCGCACCGATCGATCGTTTCTCTTGGTTTCTTTCCCGATAGACAAACGATGCCACCCTTTTCGTGGATCGTGAGCGAGCCACATCGGACGAATCCAAGCGAACAAGAGCACCTAGTATTTCGAACGTTTCTATAGTCGTGTATAGTCTTGTCGATCGAAAGTTTCTATCGGCCGGCGATCCTGTCGTCGATCCTGTCGATTCCCCATTGTCCGTTGACCGGCGAACGCATCGGCGTTCGAGGCTTCGGTTTTCCTAGACGTTCCCCGAGCGTCCTCCGCTTTCTCACCCCCGCGTCTCCGATCCTATATTTTTCCGGCGTTTTGCGGCTTTAACGCGCGTTGGCCGGTGCTCGAGCTAAATTTATTGTTCCCTTCCTAAGAAGCAGAGAAAGGAGAGAGAGAGAAAGAGAGAGAGAGAGAGAGCGAGAGAGAACGTTATCGATCCGCGCAGAATATTTACGGACGATTAATAACGCTTGATCCGTTTGTGTCCCGCGAGACTTGCGCGCGACTTGTTTCTCTTCTACAAATTAGAGCGACGCGTTGCAGTCTGTTTTTCTTCTTGACTGGCACGGTCGATTCCATCTGTTGTCACGACGCGACCAGCAAATTAACGATTTCGTCTTTTCCTCGTTCTTTCCTCCAGCTCTTTCCATAGATTCTAGCTTCTTTCCTTCTTTGGTATCTTGTTTCTTCCCTTCCCGACCGTCGCGGCCGACTCGCTCGACTCGAGACGACGCGACGCCCCGTTAATTGCCCGTGCAAAACCGTGCGTACCTATTAGCCGTAATTTACGAGTTGCTTCCACATTAGATCGGGCTACGGGGGATCCAAGCGTTGTAACGTTCTCAAGATTCCACGTCGATACATATTTTAAGCCGCTTTATACGCGTCGCGCCGTGCCGCGCCGCGCGCGCGCCAATTGATTTACCCCGGCAATTGAATTTTTTACGGAAGCTGCCTCTGCGACCGCGATACTTACCAAGGGGCAGAGGAAACATCGCGATTGTTCAGCGTCAAGGATTTACAACATTATCGCGCGCGGCCGCAGGGATCGATAACAAGATAGCGAGAATAGACGCGGATCGCGGGTCGTCACGGTTGCTTCCGATCTCGGCCGTCCGTGCTAATCGGTCTCAAAACTCACCACCGTACTCGCCGAAAACAGGAATCGCGGACAGGAATTTTTTAACACGCCTCTTACGATCCTTTTACCATCTTTCGATTCTCCGATAGTTCATCTTCGATCGATCGATCGGAAGTCGGTGTTCACAGTGAAGTTATCGAAGTAATTCGCATCTCTGTTCTTTTTTCCTAATCTCGTCTATGCGTTCTCGAAGAGCCTCGAGCCCGCCGCGACGCGACGCCACGGAACGCACAGTTTCATTTCGCACAGTCCTCGTTTTCGAGCTTTCCAAAAGCCCTCCGAATGTCTTCTGGTCTCTGTGTTTGCTACGACCGCTATGGAAACGAGCAGCTAATTATTTTAGAAATTTGCTAACATGCTTTTCGAGATATAGTTTGAACATACTATTGCAACTAGGGTATCGTTGCACCGTGAGAAACGATATCGATAAGTGGACCGCGGATTTTGTGCACGCGGATAAATTGAACGATGCTGTTTGTTGGAATCAAGGAAGAGAATCATTATTTCGCATAAAGATCCGCACAGTCTATCAATAAGCAATCCCGGTGTCGGATCAATTTTATTTTTCGACGTATCTTTTCACCGATGTAGCTTGGAGTCCCAGAGTAGCGAGAATTCTGCGCGAGACTCCAAAATCTGAAAGCTGAAACCTGAAATCTCGGCTCGTTCTCGGTTCATCAACTGGAATCGCTTTCCAGGTTCTCGGGCGTCGTTTGCGTCGTTTGCGTCGTTTGCGTCGTTCGCGTCGCTGCCGGCGGATTCGCACAGAACTTCCGTAACGATAAGAATTTTTTGAGCCGTTTTATACCATGTGTCTATACAAAACCACCGATCGATCCGACTTTTTCGATGCGTTCTCCTTTGGACTGTTTTCGTACGTTTCGAAATATTTTTCGATTTCGACGGATTTACAATTGTTTCGCTTCGACCGTAGATCAGAGCTAGGCTGTAGCTACATGGACGATCTCGCGGTCCACTCGAGTGCAGCGGTGCAGTCCTGGAAGGACACGGGGCGATCCGAATGAAATTCCATTCGCGTTTCAATTCGTCCGTGACAGTATTTTAAACGATAGAAAGCTCAAGATTACGCAGATCGGGTTCTTGTTCGCGCATCTAACAGCGAGCTTGCGATAAGATAAGAAACCTCGAAGTATTAATCGCCGCGAACATAAATAAAAAGTGAATCGAGGTTGACGCAGGACTGCACCGGATCGCTCGTTGCCAGCAGCGATCGACGAGATCCTCGAGATCCAGAAATTCCTACGACCCCGTCAGCCTTTCGTCAACGGGAGGTTGTAGTCCGCGAATCGGGTCGCTTCCGTTTAGGGTATTTCGGTACCGCTTTCGTCAAGGTCGCCGTCGGTTCTCCGACACCGTGGCCCTCCCAAGGCAGAGCGCGAGAGACGTTTCGTGGTAGGGAAAATAACGAGACTTCGGATGACCGGTGTCGCTGCCAAAATGATCTCGGCTGCGTTTTTCCGGCTTCTCTCGGCCAAGTTAGCGATCGCGCCAGTTGCCAGTGCCTTGAGAGAGAATGTTCGCGGTGTCGGACATATCGATCGACGACCACGGTTTCAAGCAGCTTATCGAACTTGGGTGTGCGTTTTTCGGGAGGGAAGCGTTAGCGAAATTGTTACTACCCCGTGTATGGTTACCACGTAAGCACCACGACACATTCACTAATTACCCGTACGACGATATTATGAGTTTTAAACGATATTCTATAAATGGCTGTACCGTATTGTAAAATCAAAGATATATAGTGTACGATAATAAAGTTTAGTGTTGTAGAAACGACGCTGAACCTGTACCTCCGTCGAGAGTTCCATTGGGTCCTGCTCCATCCTATATGCCTTTCTGCTCCGTTCTTCCATCGAACGTCCGTGCCCTTCGTTAAGGAAATCCTATTCTTTTCTACCAGGAATACGTCCATTCGTGTCCACTCTATCAGGTAAATTCTGCTATAAATTTGCATTTTCTAATTGGACATCGAAGGACTCTAGAAAGACTTTTTCTCTTTCCAAAAAGTGTCTATTCGGACATTTTGTCCGAATGGAAATGAAAACTGCGAGCCGAAGAAGCTTTGCGCGTGAAATCGTACCTAGTCCGCTGTTAATTGTCGTCTATTTTCTCCACAGGGATTAAATAAAGAAAAAGAAAGAAAAGAATAATTTCGCAGTGAATTTTTATTAACAATTTTAGGTACAGCAGTGCAGCAGCAACAACGTTTCAACGAACGCCAGACAAATGCGAGCCCAATTTCACGAGCCCAAAGGTTTCCTGACATACGCAACTAAGATGTCGTAGATGTCCAAGATTTTATTCTCCTGATCCGAGCAATCCTCTTGATTTTTGAAGAGAATTTTTTGCTTCACGATTCCCTGGGATATCTCCTCCATAAAATCGTCGCGAAGTTCCTCCGGGAACCGATTGACAAACGGGTTCACGGCTGCGACGTGTTCTGTAAGAATTTTTTTGTTAATCCTTCGAATCCCTTTTTCAATTCTCTGCTTTATTTCTTCTCCTTACTCTTTAGCGCCAGTTTGTTTTGGTAAACGTAGCTCTTCTGCCTCTTGCTGCAGTGCAGAACGTCGAATCCTGTGTCCTCCAGCACCTTCCTCAGGGAGGATCTTTGATCCTTGCACCTGTGATAGTAAGGCACGTAACGGTCCACGTCCTGCAGGAGAGAACGCTGACGATGATAGTTGCTAACGGTAAGTTCGATAATTGAGCTACGGTTGCGACTTGGGCCAAAGTTGCCATAAGTAAGTGTAAGAGCAAGAGTAATTCGACGAAGTTGTCTCGAAAGATTATCGACGATTAGTTCCTGAGAAACGTTCGAAGAACTTTGGTTAGTCGATTCGATCGAACGTGGACATTTAATCGCGAGGCTGGTCTTCGAGTAGCGAAGCGGTAGACTCGTCGATTCGATGCTAATTAAAAATCAATCGTTAACCTGCATAAATGGTCGGTAGAGCGGATTTTCGTACACGTCCATGTAGACGTCGAAGCCGTCGTTGCGAGCCAGAAACATGGTCAGAGCAGTGCCTCCGGGTCGCAGCATCTTCCATATGTTCCCGAAAGTCCTCCTGAACGAGCACAGGCGATTCGATTTAATTTTTCTTCGCGAGCGAGTCTAATCTCCTCGTTTATCTAATCGTTTAATTTCCTCTTACAACTATAAAAAGTCTTATGTAGCGAAGATGTTATGTTGTTGTTATTATGTTGTTATTATCGTAGGAAGCTCGGGAAAGGTACCATGGATTCTCGCACCAGTGAAGACAGAAGAAGGAGAACGCGTTGCTGAACTGGGCCACCAGCTCGTTAGGCAGATCCCCAGTCTGAACATCCAGACAGATAAACGACAGCCGCTTCTCGTCGCTGCACTTCTCTCTCGCGTACTCGACCATCTCCTTCGATATATCCGCTCCTGGGAACCTTGAGAAATTAGGGACCCATTGAAAGAGAGATTAGGCGGTTCTCTTACCAACGAGCTCGGCTTCCGCTGCCAGCCTCGGCAACAGCAGAGTCTTGGTGACGTTCCCAGGCCCGCAACCGATGTCTATGCACCTGCCTCTCATCTCGGAGATCTCTTTCCCGAATTCTTCGATCACATCGAGCGCGTCCTTGTATTGGAACTTGCTCGCGTTCACGTATTCCTCCACCATATGCATCTCGGGTTATTTCGTCTTCGGCTTCTACGTCGAAGATCTATGGAAATACGCCGTCGGTGTCCTCGGGTTTCTATTCCAACTTGTTGCTATCGAGGTTTCCGTCGGAAATACGCATAGGAAACGCGATGCAAACTGTTTTCGCCGATTTAGAATACATTCGATGAGCGATTATTACTTGCAAGGAGAGGTGATGGATTTTGGGTCACCGATTTCGATGAAATTTCTTTTTTATCGATCCTACATTATATTTATGAAAACAAGAAACAACGTCTACGATATTGGAACGGCTACGTGGATAACGCGTTGAATTTTCTAGAAATTTAATTCCTTATCAGCTTGTTCCTTAAGAATCTAACCCACGACCTCCGTATTCGTATCCCAACACGTTATCCACGTAGCTATTCTCCAATATCGTAGAAGTTGTTTCTTGTTTTCGATATCTATACGCAACGTCTGGTCCGATGATTTAAACGTTAAATATCTTTATAAATAATGCCCATTTGCACAAACGCTGGAACACGACTCAAATGATTTTCAGTTTGTATTCACCAAAAAAAACTTCATTGAAATCGGTAACCCGAAATCCGTGACCTCTCCTTTATAGATTAAATTAGAACCTAGCTTCTGTTTTTATCTCTGAGCTTTTTATTACTGAGCGATTGATTGAATTGATTCTCTCTCTCTCTCTCTCTCTCTCTCTCTCTCTCTCTCTATCTATCTATCTATCTCAGTAAATGTAAAGCTATATCAAAGTTTAAATCACAGAGAAACACAATGTAAATTGGATTCTGCAGCCTCTATTGCTTCCTGAACTTCTCTTGCTTCCCAGCTGTGCCAAAGATTAGTTAATCGCAGCGAATGAAACTTGAATGGTGATCAATGATCTTCTATTTTTGACGATCGAATTGTTGGACCTTGCACAAGCTGCAGGAAGTACACGAGTATATACCCGGTGACCGGTCTAACGTATCGTCGCTTCTTCCACTGGTGACTTTTAGCCCGGGGTTTCGTATTTATATTCGGCGGACTCGTACAAACAACTTACGAGCTCCCACACTGCCCTCCCCCATCCGTCCGGTTCATTCTTCGTTTTTTCCTCTTCTTCGTCTTTCTCGTCTCTCTCGTCTGCCTCCTCGTCTTCCTCGTCTTCCTCGTCTTCCACGTCTTCCTCGTCTTCCTCCTCTTCCGCCCCCGTCTCTCCAGTCTCGGGGGGCCCAGATGGCACAACGTCCAAATTCTTGACCGTGGCCAGGCCTCAGGGGTTCATCGACCCCGCACAGAAAAGCTGAGACCGTGGGAGATGCGTCAGGATTTAAACGGGGCGCATTTAGATTCCGATTACGTGGCCGACGACCGGCCCTTCGCGATGCGTTCACCTAGGGATCGTGAAAGGTTCGAAAAGTGTGGAGTTCAATGACTGCTTTGTAGTACACGCCTAATGCCACACGCCGCGGCCGTTAAGGTTCCCGACGGAGTTTGATCGTGCATTTTAATTCTCGTTCTTCTGTTTCCAAGCCCTTCGCGACGAACTTCGAATGTTGTTGTCAAAGGTTTACGGGTTCGATGACTGTTTTGGAATGCATCGACGGCTTTTCCCGAATTTGTTGCTGGATAGACGAACCCTGCTTGGAGTTTTTTTTTAGGAGTTCTCGATGTTGGAGTCGCAAGCAGAACCTGTTAAAAATTGCAAAATCGGTAGAAAAGTCCAGAGACAAGATAATAGGACCTGTCGAAAGCGATGGTATCTATAGGCACGAGATCGCAGGTGGAAGGTATTGTAGAGTCCAAACCATAATTGTAAGAAATCAGGTTTCTTTGCTGGCCGAACCTATCGATTCTCATTTTGCAGTTCTATCGATACTGTCCTGTTGCAATCGAGTGTGCAGCCGGTACTAGTCGAGGCGAGAGAGAAGTTTCGAAGAGGGATGAGAAAGTTGTCGCGTAACCAGTGTTCGTTGCAGACGCCCACACTCTAGTTTTCCTGTTTCTGCCGGACCTCTCGGGTAGTCTGGTTCGACGGTTACCAGCCGCGCACCGTTTCGGCAAGAAACGAACGCGTTTCGAGNTATCTATCTATCTATCTCAGTAAATGTAAAGCTATATCAAAGTTTAAATCACAGAGAAACACAATGTAAATTGGATTCTGCAGCCTCTATTGCTTCCTGAACTTCTCTTGCTTCCCAGCTGTGCCAAAGATTAGTTAATCGCAGCGAATGAAACTTGAATGGTGATCAATGATCTTCTATTTTTGACGATCGAATTGTTGGACCTTGCACAAGCTGCAGGAAGTACACGAGTATATACCCGGTGACCGGTCTAACGTATCGTCGCTTCTTCCACTGGTGACTTTTAGCCCGGGGTTTCGTATTTATATTCGGCGGACTCGTACAAACAACTTACGAGCTCCCACACTGCCCTCCCCCATCCGTCCGGTTCATTCTTCGTTTTTTCCTCTTCTTCGTCTTTCTCGTCTCTCTCGTCTGCCTCCTCGTCTTCCTCGTCTTCCTCGTCTTCCACGTCTTCCTCGTCTTCCTCCTCTTCCGCCCCCGTCTCTCCAGTCTCGGGGGGCCCAGATGGCACAACGTCCAAATTCTTGACCGTGGCCAGGCCTCAGGGGTTCATCGACCCCGCACAGAAAAGCTGAGACCGTGGGAGATGCGTCAGGATTTAAACGGGGCGCATTTAGATTCCGATTACGTGGCCGACGACCGGCCCTTCGCGATGCGTTCACCTAGGGATCGTGAAAGGTTCGAAAAGTGTGGAGTTCAATGACTGCTTTGTAGTACACGCCTAATGCCACACGCCGCGGCCGTTAAGGTTCCCGACGGAGTTTGATCGTGCATTTTAATTCTCGTTCTTCTGTTTCCAAGCCCTTCGCGACGAACTTCGAATGTTGTTGTCAAAGGTTTACGGGTTCGATGACTGTTTTGGAATGCATCGACGGCTTTTCCCGAATTTGTTGCTGGATAGACGAACCCTGCTTGGAGTTTTTTTTTAGGAGTTCTCGATGTTGGAGTCGCAAGCAGAACCTGTTAAAAATTGCAAAATCGGTAGAAAAGTCCAGAGACAAGATAATAGGACCTGTCGAAAGCGATGGTATCTATAGGCACGAGATCGCAGGTGGAAGGTATTGTAGAGTCCAAACCATAATTGTAAGAAATCAGGTTTCTTTGCTGGCCGAACCTATCGATTCTCATTTTGCAGTTCTATCGATACTGTCCTGTTGCAATCGAGTGTGCAGCCGGTACTAGTCGAGGCGAGAGAGAAGTTTCGAAGAGGGATGAGAAAGTTGTCGCGTAACCAGTGTTCGTTGCAGACGCCCACACTCTAGTTTTCCTGTTTCTGCCGGACCTCTCGGGTAGTCTGGTTCGACGGTTACCAGCCGCGCACCGTTTCGGCAAGAAACGAACGCGTTTCGAGCATCGAGCCCGAACCGTGGACGAGTCGGTTCCGATACGTAATTCATCTCGAGGCGTTCCTTACAGCCGTTCACCGTCGCGTCGTTCCGACAAGAAGTCCACGTTCTCGTCAAATATTTACCTGCACGTCGCGTTCGCCGCTCCTCCGCGGCTCGTCGTTAACGTATTGTTAGGAAATTGAACCGTCAGCCTGTCCAGGCGCAAACATTCTATTCCCCGCCCTATTAAAAGCCGCCCTCGTTGTTGGTTCTTGTGCGAATGTCCGGCAGAGACGTCCAAACACTCGCTTCTTTCTCCTAGGGTGTCGATCAACCCTTCTTACAGGTATCATCTTTTAAAACCTAGATCTTCGAACCTTTAAAATCTAAAGCGCAACGAGTTCCGACACAACAGATCGATAGGAACGCGCAATTAGTATTTACGCGTCATCCTCGCGCATTCTCGTTTCGCGCGCGGCCGTTATTTTTATAATCCGCGCCCTTTCGCGCCGCGGACCGTGATTAAGTAAATTAAACTGGAGCGCGATAATTCGTTTTATTTTCCGCGGTATCGAGAGAGATCCTCGGGAATCGGGCTACAGCCTGGGCATAGACCTAGACCATACCCTCGAACCACCGCTTATCTTCCGGTCGCCACGTATTTGCGTTTCGTACGCGGCGCAAACCGCGATCCGTATTTACGTATGCGCGGACACACGTTTCGACCCTCTGCGACCGGTCGATACAAAGGGGCCACTTTCTTAATCAAACAGATCGAACGGGATCGCGGGAGGACAAAGGGTTACGGAGAAGGAGAGGTATTCGGTCGAAGAAAGGAGAGAATAATGCCGTGGCATGGTGGATGATGGTTACAGGGGAGGAAGGCGACGCGGCGGGGCGTGATGGCGGCGGAGAAGGAAGATGGATGCGAAACTCGCGAGGCAATGATAGATAGAGAACGCCTCTGCCTTTCGCGACCTCTCGCACCTTTTCTTCGAGAGGATCTTCTATCGGTGCCGGCCTCTGCATCTCCGTCGTTACCCGTGATTCCTCGGCGCCCTTAACCCTTCGGCTGCCAGGGAAAACGGTCGGAGAACGCGGAGAACGATCTCTGTGCGCAGAGAATTCATCGTCGAACGTTTCTGTAAGTTTTCGCTTCGATCGATCTCCGTCTTCTCGACGAATTTGCGGAAGTTTATCGAAACGACAGCTGGCGAAGAGATACCGGATGGAGCGTGGTCTACGAGGTCCTATCCGCTATAATCCATGAGGCCCTAGGCATATTATAGTCTATGCGGTCGGAGCCATTATAATTTGCGAGGTCCTAGCCATTAAAGTCTATGCGGTTCTAGCGACTACAGTCTACGAGGTCCCAGCTACTACGATCTATAATATCCTAGCCATTGCAATCTACGAGGTCCAGAACAAACGACTGATCCGTGCCCAAAGCTGCTGAACAACGCCAAATATTTAGGGTGCCGCTAACGACGGTAAGATTCGCTTCGGATGTTACGTCCGACGTTCGATCACCGGTGGAACGAAAATAAAAATAAATTGTTAATTTGTCCAAGGTCTCGAGAAACGTTTTCCAGATTTCTCTCCGCCCCTAGCTCGTTCCGCGCGCGCCTTCTCGACCAAGACGTATCGACGCGGATTTTTTTCCGTGTCAGCCATTTATCAAAGCCTCCGGCTCTTCCCCTGTCTTTCTCCGATGTTCATTCGATACACACGGACGAGGATTTTAGCCGGCTGAACAGGACACGGAGAAAAGATCGGTGGTTCGAGTCCAGCCTGAAATTTCGCGGACGTCGCAGCTCCGGCACGCGTCTGCCTCGCGAAGATCTCTTCGGAATAATCGAATAATTGACTCGGACGCGATTTGTTCGGCCGTGAACGAAGAGCCGTCCCTTCGGGATGAGTTTTTACGAACCGTCTGTCAGCTCTTGGATCGTCGAGTCATCGGAGAAATTTAAAAACGACGATACCTCGCGGTGCTTTGCTCCGATCCTCGGATGTTTGTCCTGGACGTATGCGTCCAAGAACTTGCAAATTAATCTCTTTATTTCTTGCAGATCCGGATAGAGAAGTTCTCCTTTATATTTGTAAGAGCGATTCTCTTTGTCCATAAGAGTGGCCCTTGACAATTTGCGCGACGTCTTCGTCTGCAGGGTTTTTGGCCCTGGAGAAAGGTTCGTCCAACATTTCTGCAAAAGGTATCCGAGGGGTTTTCGCTA